CCCCCCCCCCCCCCCCCCCCCCCCCCCCCCCCCCCCCCCCCCCTACGATGATTGGCTCCCGCCCCCTAAATACACTCTCTGGTCCTCACTTCTGCCATGCTTTTTTACTGAGTCCTGCACAACTTTTAATACCAATGAACAACTTGGCCTCTCCGTAGAGGAGCTTGTCAGTATACGTTTAAACATTTTAGATTCCATAGCTCCATTCAGATGTAAGAAGTTGCATTCCCACTTGGTTTTTATAAGATGTATTTCAGACGGTTGGTCCAGACATTTTAGCCATTATTAACTGCTCTCTGTCCCCTCTAACTTTAAACATGCTGCTGTTTAAAGATCCCTTGGTTTGAAGTAATTTCAGACCCGTCTCCAAGCAGCCATTTTTATCAACGTTTTTTAGAAAACACTGTTTGGTTTCTTTCATGAATAACAATGAAATCTTTGGTAAATTCAGGCTCTTCACTGACTTTTGATGCTCAGGCGACCGAAGGGGTTTATATTAGGTCCCCTGCTGTTCACCGTTTTCCAAGTTACCCCTCAGAACACATCATACGGCAACAAAACACTGACTTCCATCGCTACGCAGATGATACTCAGTTGTACATCCCGATTAAGCCTGGCTCCAGCACTGTTTCGTGTATCATGTCCCGCTTTGCCGACATTAGTAATTGGATGTCCAAAAATGTCCTGCAACTAAATGACTCCAAATGAAGTAGTTATAATTACCCCTGCTGACCACAGCACTAGCTGCATTAATGATCTCTCCTCAAGTCTGGGCGCCTCATCAAATAATGTTCGGCATGAAGCCCGCAAACCTAGCTCTTATTTTTGACTCGGAATAGATTTTTGACGCTCAGGTGACCAAACTTAATTAATTAAGACAGCTTAGCAAAACCAGGTGCGATTTTGTTTTAGAAAAGACTATTTCCACTCAATTGATTTATTTTATGAATAACAATGAAACCTTTGACAAATGCAGGCTTTTGGCTCTCTTCACAGCACTGAGACTGCTCTGGTCACGGTCTCAGCCGACACAGGCGTGTATTCCATTTGAATTCTTCTGGACCTCAGCTCGGCCTTTGACACAGAGGACCACAATGTCTTAACCAGCCGTCTGAAGAACTATGTTGGCATCAGGGTGATGTGGCGCTGGATTTGGTCGATGTCTAATCTGTCGAACGGCTCCTTTTTCGGAATGCTTGGAGATGCCTCCTCTTCATCTGCTCCTCTCTTCTGCGGTGTCCCCCGGGGGTCTATTAGGTCCCCTCCTGTTTACATATACACATTACCACTCAGGGCACATCAAACAGCAACATAATACAGAGTTTCATCGCTACGCAGATGATACTCAGTTGTACATCCCGATTAAGCCTGGCTCCAGCACTGTTTCGTGTATCATGTCCTGCATTGATGACATTAGAAATTGGATGTCCAAAAATGTCCTGGAACGAAATAACGCCAAATGAAGTTGATATAATTATCCCTGCTGGCCCGAACATTAGCTGTATTAATGATCTTTCCTCAAGTCTGGGCGCCTTATCAAATAATGTTCGGCATGAAGCACGCAACCAGATCTTATGTTTGAGTCTGAATTTACTTTTGATGCTCAGCTGACCAAAGATGTGCAGATCTGCTTTGCTCAATCGAGACAGCTTAGCAAAACCAGGTCCTTCCTTTCACGTATACAGACCTGGAGACAGTCATTTTAAATGGGTTACAGACCAAATGGAGGTTAGTCAGCCATTGTAGAAACTATCAATATATATTCACAATTCTTTGAATCACAGAGTACACTGCTATGCCATTGCGAGAATATTTTTCTGCCTCCTAAATTAAGAGTTTCCGCTCAACAAGAGCAACGTTCCAAGCGGTCGGTAATGCGAGACAATGACGGAAAAAAGGCGCATTACGCACTTCAAATGAAAACTGTGGTGAAACCAAGAAAACGCTGAACATGTTATACACGTGGAGATTGATTACCTTAATAAACCATATATAAGCAAGAGAAAATAGATCAACAGAATCATGCATGAAGTCTGTGCAGTACATTATCTCACAGCAGGTGAAACAACCGGCGAAGAGACGAACCATTAACAACACACACACATTAGCCATTTAACTGCGAGCAGCGTTGTTATTTAAACTAATATGTTTCATAAACTCCACAATCTTACATTCATTTTACAGGCTCATCCACAGGTGCTTTTCTCTGACATTAACGGGAGGAAAACTATAATAAAACCCAACATAAAACGCCTTTTTCCTTCTCACAATAATCTGTCATTTCTGCCATGCATCATTCTGGTGAATCTGTCCGCTGGATCGTTGCACAATGACCGTGCTTTATATCTCAAACTGCTTTATATTTAACCAAAATGACCAGGACATCTCTGCAGAACTATAGCTACCATGTACAAGAACACCCGTGTGGAAGATTTGCTAGCGTTGGAATTAACTGGTGACATACCGTACGCATACGTGAGGCTGATGTGTCGTGGGCGCGGCCATTGATGACCCATTATACAAGAAATACCAGAAGACTGTCTTATCTTTGTATCATATATCATTATTAATCTGAGGTCAAGTAAACGTTAATAATGATATAACGTTAATAATGATATAACGTTATGTCTCAACGGGATTTGGAAAACTTGTCCATGCATTTTCTTCATTAGACTGGACTACTGTAGCGGTGTGTTTACAGGTCTCTGTAAAAAGTCTGTCAGAACGCTGCAGCTCGAGTCCTCACTAAGACCAGGAGGGTGGATCACTCCAGTTCTGAGGTCTTTGCACTGGCTTCCTGTCCAACAAAGAATTGACTTTAAAATCCTGCTGTTGGTTTATAAAGCACTGAATGGTTTAGGGCCAAAATACATCTCTGATCTGCTGCTACCTTATGAACCATCCCGACCCCTTAGGTCGTCTGGGACCGGTCTGCTTTCTGTTCCCAGAGTCAGAACTAAACATGGAGAAGCAGTTCAGCTTTTCTGCTCCACATATCTGGAACAAAGTCCCAGAAAGCTGCAGGTCTGCTGAGACCCTCAGCTCCTTTAAATCAAGATTGAAGACTTTTCTGTTCGCTGCTGCCTTTAATTAATTGAACCAGATTCAAGGATATTAATCAGTTTCCTGCATTTTACTACTGTATTTTATTGCTTACACTGCTTTTTAGTGTTTTAATGAATGTTCTTAATTGTTTTTAAATCTCCTTTTCTTTTGCCTTCTGTTTTGATGCTTTTAATGGTTTCATGTGAAGCACTTTGAATTGCCTCGTTGTTGAAATGTGCTCTACAAATAAACTTGCCTTGCAAATATATGATACAAATATAAGACTGACAACAATAACTATTTGTAAAGGATGTATTCATGCTTTTGAAGGTTTACTGAATCGCACTAGATTCCTTGGGGGAAAAAAACTATTGGCTTTCTCCTTTGGATTTTGGATTATTGCAGCAAATAAACTCTGTGGCAAACAAACGTTTAATATATTTAAAAGTTTAGTTCAGCAAGTAAATCTTCACAAAGTATCACTACTTTCGAGTCTTTAGAAACGCAAAGTTTCCCAATTCAAACTCCAGTCAAACAACTTCTTACTGAATATTTACAACGTGTTGACAGTTTACTCACCTGGGAACCACGCGCGTAGACCACCACCTGCGGGTTAAACAGTGTCACAGCATGCGGACTCTCCCCCCAGGGCTCCGGGGCGCTCCTGCCTCTCTCACACACCTTGTACTCCAGCATGGAACCACACCGAGCCTTTATACAAACTAATGGATCAAGCAGTTTACGTCTTCTTTCATTACTTACGCATGTATCCGTGTTGAAAGGAGTTGTTGTTGTTGCCATTAGCCGTTAGCTGAAGCCTACCCACGGCTAGATGTATCCCATGATGCATTGGGCGAAGTCAGTCGACGAATCACAGGCCGTGTTGCTGATCTCAGAGTAGTGGAAATGGATACAATGTATATTTCTCTCCACTGAAGAACGAGTTCACTGTTGTGTTATGTGTGATTTGAATACATATCTGAGATTTAATGTCCAAAATATATATATTTCTTGTATTTATACGTTCATGTGACATCGCTATCGCATACATATTCTAATAGTCCAGTTTGTCCTGCGGAAACATGTATGTAAACAACATAACTGTGCATTACACTCATGCATGGGACATAAATAAAGGTATGGTTGTTGCAATGCTGTTTGTTTTCTCATTCAGTTTGTATTTATTCATCTATTTATACTTATTATGCTTCTCAGTTAATAAATGGAGAGTATGGAAACAAGAACAACTTAAAAACTAAAAACAATTTCAAAACTCGTGTCTGAAATTGTTAAAAGGTGGTTAAAGTATCTATTGTAGTGGAACTTGGTGTGTCAAGTTTAAACATTTTAGGGGGAGATGCATTTTTTAATATTGAGCTCCACGGGGTTTAGTGAAGTTACAATTTTCATTTCCAGAGTGTCTATTTGCACCCGGGGGAGAATAAGTTAGCTACACAGCAGCTATTCGGCTTGAATATGCTACTTATTTTGCAAGCCAAAAGGCTTTCTGCCAAGATTTAGGAATAGTAGTAACAGTAGAAGAAGTAATAGTAAAACAACAAAGCGGGGGGGGGACGAGGACGACCAAAAGTCGCAGTTTGGTTAGGATTAGGTACAGGCAAGAAAACTAGTTAGGTTTAGTAAAAATATACACATAACCTACAGTAGGCTACATATTCAGTAATGCGTGCCTGGGTCGGGTGCAAATAGCAATGTTGGCTACAGACACCTGGCTGCCATCTGCCTTTTATTTTGGATATACCTCCAAAAGTACAACAGCGATAAAAAACGGTTTATTTTTGCTCACTGGCATTTGTCACTGTCCTCGGGTCAGGTTTCAGGAAGTCTTTGTTATCCACATTAAATTGTTACATGACTGTGCGCTCCAATGGGTAAATAAAGTGTACTCCTGCATTTGTATGCCAGGAATCTGGACTCTTGTGCCATCTGCTGCTGAAAGAATGTGATGTGTCACAGGCTCCTGTCTGAACACGGGGCAGGATGAAGACATGGGTTTGGCAGAGGAACAGCTGACTGGCTGCTCCTGACACTGACACCTACTGAAATGGCTGCTTTGTACGCATAGAAGGTTCAATCGTCATACAGAATGCAAAGCAAGTCTGAGGGAGGAAGAACCCAGAGTGTTGGTTGTGTACGACTTATAAAGACCTTGAGCATTGAATGGTTAACCACTGAATGGTCCACTGATTGCATCCACATTCAGCCCCTTATCTAAGCTGACAATATCATGCCCCTGATTAAGACACACACAATATTAGTCAACGTGAGAGGACTCTCACTGACCATGTCTGACATTCATTAACCTTAAAACCAAAAGGGCCAAAACACTGAGTGGTGTGGTGTGATAGACAAGTCACAGTGGGATTTTGCCATCACACTATTGAAGAATATTAAAGACCCAGTCCCTGCTGCCTTGGTGTGAATGGAGAGGAAACAGGTGATAGTGGGGCACATGGAGGCAAACTAACGGCCATTCTCATGGGTTGTTTGGCTTTATCGTCACAATGTCACAGTTGTGTCTTTAATACCTGCAGAGACAAGCTGAAACAAAAAGTGGAGAGTTATGCTACTCAGTGCACCGTGACGTATAAAGAGACACCGAAGCCTCCGTTTCAATTTTTTGTTTTTATTCCGGACACACTCGCCAATCTCCGACTGAGTGTCGCACTGGTATCACCTTTCTAATTATAACCCTGAGCCTGGATTCTCCAAGAATGGAAGTTCAGCCAGGCCCATCTGTGGCCTAAAATTAGCCCCCATACCCCCCAGAAAGGAGCTTTGGTCCCCTCTGTCTGTTAACACATACGCACGCACACACACACACACACACACACACACACACACACACACACACACACACACACACACACACACCATACTGCGCTTTTCACAACTCCTGTGGAAGCGTCACACACTCCTTGGAGGACTTTTCTTTCCTTCTTTCTTCCACGTGATTTCTTATGGACTTTTGAAAGTTTTTAACTTCTTTTCTAATGTCTTCAGGGAAAAAGACACCATCATACAACTAGCTGAGGTAAGTGTCTTGTTACAGTAATTTTGCTGCTGTTGAACGGAACCACGGAGTCTTGTTTCTGCTGAGCAAATCATGTGGACCTCCAGTGGAAACCATTCTTTCTTATGTCTATGAGTATGAAATGCACTCACGCATGGCTTTTATTTAAGTTGCATTGCTGTGATTTGTCTTCTGTGAAGTAACTGTCATGTGAAGAAACTGCGCTGTCTCATGGCAGTACTGAAGGGTCACGGCAAGAAGTCATTATTTTTTCTTTCATGTAGGACTTCGTTATGTTGAAAGAAGAATCGTGCCCAACAAAAACAACCCAAGATGTCAGCTGTGCATATGTGTTTGGATGCATTACCATCTCTCTCTGACATTTTCGCCACTGCAGATGGAAGGGCTTTGACTCGCAGCAGCCTGGGGTTACATCATGGTTCTGGGCCAAGCTGTCAACATGAGTTTGATGGACATTTCGAAGATCTTCTCCCTGCTGCAGCCGAAGGAGGAGGATGAGGACAACGAGCAGTGCCAGGCCTTGATCAACGCCGTGAGCAGCGACAACGTGACTCTGCTCTCCGAGCTTCTGCCTCAGGAGAGTTACAGGAGGTCTATCAATGCTCGAAGCGGGTGGGGGGTCCCAGTCACCCCCTTGCGCAGTGCTGCTGCTCTGGGACACCTGAGGTGCTTGGAGTTGTTGGTAGAGCACGGTGCAGAGGTGAGACACGGAGAGAGTGTTTAGTTGTACAGCTTGCAGATGAGGATGGTGAGATGGATCTTTGATAGTGGGGGGGGGGTTAACCCATATGAACCCAAACCCATTTTTCCTGAATGGAAAATTATAGGGGACATAGAACTAAAACTAACTGGACCACATTTCTGAAAATATTTTAACATATATGTAACATTTCAAAGATCTGAAATGTTACATATGTCACATTGGATGATTACGTATCGATGTTTTCCTCATTTGAAAATCAATCAACTTGGACCTTTTTTGCTTGGTAACAAAGATATGCATTTTCATTTGCATTTCCACAACACATATCAAAATTACAACTTTTATGGTTAGATTGAATCAAAAAATCACTTCAAAAATGTCTTCTCCTTGGATGATCTTCAGGGCATCCTGAACACTGTATCGTAAAGAAATAATTAAATTACTTTGAAATAGGACCAAAATAGGATAGTTAAATATTGTTTGTTTGTGTTTTATTTACTGATATGTACATTTTTCTTTCATAACTTCATAATTCTTTCATATTTCATTTGACTAATAATTTTATACATTTTACATTTAATTTGATTAAATGTCTTTTGAATTCAACAAAAGAACATATTTTAATCAAGAATAACTGAATCGGCTAAATCAATTGAGCAGCTCATTTTTCTTATTGTGACAAACGTCACATTGGTTTTTCTGAGACAATTATAAGTTTAAAAGCCTGATGTGACATATCTGTCACAACGATATTTTCATAACTTTTTAGACATAGCTTAGTTTGATAAATATGGTCAGAACAGTTTAGATGTAATGTAGGACATGTTATCAAAGCATTACAATTGTTAAATGTGTTGAAACTTACCGTTAGCAACAAAAACAAGCTTTTTGAAATCAGCTAGTTCTGCCAGGCGGCCATTTTGGAAGTGATGTCATTGGTACACACATTAAGTCACTGTCACATGACCTCACCAGGATGGTCCGTATGTGTCACTCAGGGACTTCAAGAGTTAAAATCAAGGATAAAACTGTAGAAGGAACCTTCCAGGACATTAGATCAAACAGCTAGGTGTAATATGAAAGGGGTCCCTGAGTGACAAGCGCACACAAAGTTATTACACAACTCTGCAGTTCACCTCAGTTCGAAGGAACCTCAGAGCGTCTTTTTAGCTCTTTGTTTCGGTTTTCCATCCTCAAGGTTGTTTCCAGAAGCAGCAGGCTTTTTCCGCAAAATTAAGGCTCCAATAAACCCATTATTTACTACCTGACCAGTGCAAAACAGCAAATAGCCAATGTCAGGTATTAGAGAGGGATATAGTGGATCATTTAGCTTCTAATAAGCAGGGTATTTCCCTCAGGAGTTGGTATAGCTCGAAACAGTGTTAAAAGCAGAGTGAATATTGGATTTCAAGTCATTAGATAAATAAATAAATAAATACAAATTGAGAGGCGAGAATACGTCAATTCTGTGTAAAATAATGCAGCTGTAATGATGCATATCGACGTTGTTGGATCACCAAATCTGTCAGGACCGCTTCCTGTGACAACATGTCGGTGCACTGCTGTGTTTTGAATCCAGATCGACAGCCTGGACGTGAAGGCCCAGACACCTCTGTTCACAGCTGTCAGTGGGAAACATCTGGACTGCGTGGTTGCCCTGCTGAAGGCCGGAGCCGATCCCAATGGCAGCCAGTACAACAACTGCTCCCCGGTGCTGACCGCAGCCCGCGAGGGCGACTTAGACGTGCTCCGGGAGCTGCTGCGCTTCGGAGCCGAGGTGGACGCCAAGACCAAGGTCCCCGAGTGGGCCTCCAGTGCCACGGCCTGCAGAGGGCCCCTGTACATCTCAGCTGTTTATGGACACCTGGACTGCTTCAAACTGCTCCTTCTCTACGGGGCCAACCCCAACTACAACTGCACGGACAAGACGTTGCTGGCCAGGATAAAGCAGCCAAAGACGGTCCTGGAGGTGTGTCTGCGTTACGGCTGCGGGGTGGAGTACATCCAGCTGCTCGTAGACTTTGGGGCAGACGTGTTTCTGCCCACACTCATCATTGACAAGACTACGAAGCAGAACGAAGCTCTGATTCTGCTGCTCAAAGAGAGAGGTGAGACACCGGTCATGGTTTGGTTCAGTGTGCAAAGTGTCAAAATGTTGATCCACCTTTGTTTTGTCTGTTCCTGCTCCAGTTTGTCCCAAAACACTGATGTCGCAGACTCGGCTAGCAATCCGAAGATACCTCCCCTTTGCCAACAAAGAGCCTGTCATCGACTGTTTGGACGTTCCTCTGATCCTGAGGAACTATCTGAAGCACGAAACCTCTGAACACATATGATGCTCACCGTAGCATCAGAATATAGGGCCAGTGACAATTGTTTTTTTTTTACCTCATTTCAGATGACTGGATAATTGATTTCTAGCTTTTCCGAGATGTAGAAAAGGTCCCTGTACTGTATAGTGAGTGCTATAAATCCTTGTTTTTGTTATTTATATATTAAGATTGAAATGTGTGCCTACTAAACAGATATATAACTTCTGATTAAATTATTATTCAGGCTCTACAAAGCTTATGGAAGTGTCTTCGTCAAACACAGAAAGATGAACATCCTAAAGGACTCCATGTTGGACACTCTGCCGTGTCCTTTTTGCAGTGTAACACCGTGGTTGACCACTAGAGACCACAGTAATACTGCTTGTTGCCCTGGTCCAAATTTGGTAACACCTCTTTGCATCACCTTTAGCTCTGTTCTCCTCTGAGGTAACATTACACAATAAAATATGTATACATCCAGACACACATGCACACATCTTACCACAATGTCTAAGACCTTCCCTTAAAAAACACTCTTTCGACAGCTGTGGACTTCAAAACAGGAAGCGGAGAAGACATCTGCCCAAACGTCATTACAGCAGTTATTTGCAGGCTACAATTTGTGGTTATGAATGTTTCTTTTGTGAGTTGTGAAACGCCTCGTGATACCGCTATTATCTTGTGTTCGCATGCCCTTGAATCTTTCCTCTGTCACACATCCAGGAGTTAAAATGCGTCAGCTGTTGGGAATGGTGGACCTGCAAACAGGAAACGATGTCACACAACAGGAAACCCAGCACAATGCTCCCACTCACACATTGACGCCTCGAACACGCAGTTCTGTAGAGGTTTTATTTTCAACAAAAGTACAGCTATATCAGATATGGATTTATTTTTACAGCGAAGTACAACATATTCCCAGTGCTTCTGATTACATCAAAACATAGAATGTACATACAGTTGACATCTCCACTCTCCCATTCACAGTTTCTGGATTGAATAGGCATTATTTTTCAGGTTTTTCATTTCTACAACAAATAATCAAACTCAAAAGGCCAGCGAGAAAGAAAATGACAAAATGTTTGCATATGGTGACAAAGGATATGGATACTGTGAGTAAATTGTTCTGTGTGAGGCAAAAAATCCAGACCTTAAAACTAGATGGTAATATACAATGAATAGATTTCAAAGGTGGAATGTCAGTCCTCTGTTTACCTTGTTGTCAGTGAACACCACATCGACATATGGCTCATTGAAGACTCTTTGTTTGTACCCTGACTAATCTGAAACAACACAGCGAGGAGTTCCTACTGAAGATGTCGCGATGCTAAGTGTGAGTGGCTCACGCGCAGCCTGGACTACAAGGAACTACGTTCATCTGAGCAGCCTCTGATGCGTCCGACTGACAGTCTGCTAAGTTGGCTGTCTTGGTTTTATGACAGGAAATAGAAAGAAAAAAAAAAAAGAAGAAATCTTCCACACAGAGAGCTGTCCTCTAAGTTCTCAGCACAAGGTCAGAATGATAATTATATAATAAAAAATAATGTATACATCCTTTTGAACAATGTGGCCAAAATGGTTCTATTTAATTAATACTGCATTCAATAAATACAAGTGAGGAATTAATTTGTACTGTCAAGTCATTGCACTTTAAAGAATCATTTCTTAAGTAGAAACAAGAGCATGACATGAATTGCAATGAAGTACTGTATATGTGTGTGTGTGTGTGTGCATCTTCAGGATTATGTCTATTTTTAGCTCATCCCGAGAGGTTTCGCATTTATTCAGCTCGTCTGCTTGACTACAAATCTATACACAAACACCCATGATCAGTGCTAACTCCTATTTGGTTCACTGTTGTCATAGAAAAATGATACCCGTTTTTCCTCAGCGGTTAATGGAATTCCCCAAAAAAAATAACCAGCAGTTTGGACCATGACAGTGCAGATTGGAGTCAAAGAAAAGAGTAAATAAAGACTTCAGAATAAGTTTACAGTTTATAGGACCCAATACATCTGGGCAAAGAGAACATTAGTGCCTTTAATTTCACCCATCAACAGTTCAGTCTTTGATTCAGCATGAGGGAACGATGTATCCCCTCTCTACCTAATAAATAAAAACAGAAGCTACAACCTGTAATGTGTCGTGAGCAGGAGACAGGTGGACGGAGAAAAGAACTCCCCTTAGTGAGATGGCATGGGTTCACAAATGAATGGTTCCGCGGTGGGGAAAAAAAGAAATCCCATTGGAAGTTAAATGAAACTAAACAATCTGTCAAGAGTTGTCTGAAGTCTCATGCAAAATATTGGATGCCACGAGCATGCATTTACCTGGTACTGAGGTCTACCGCACGCTAGAACTGGAACAACATTCGTCTCCAACGCAAAATACCAATATCCAAATATATGATCTGTTCTTTTTACACTATTTACAGTGTGTAGCTGATAAAGGTAAAATAGATGATTCTTCTTTTGATTCATAACGCACTGCTAATAATATACTTTGAAAAGTGAAACCTAACTTGACTAATGAAAAGCTGCTTTCCTACTATATATTCAAATGAAACCATCTGTCAGGATGTTAAATATAACAATTAAGGAATCCTATGTAGTTTCTAAACGTCTGAAATTAGAATGAACCTCTTTTTGTGCAATAAAGTTAGCGCTGTGGACGTGTGGTGTAACATCATAAGGTGTGTTTCAGTCAGACGGCACAGTATCTACTCATATGGAAAAGGCCTGACCTCTAAGTTTCTGTCCGAGTGGATTTCATGCACTGGGGAACGAGGAATTCCCAAAGTGTATGTGTGAGAGAGAGAGAGAGAGAGAGAGGGAGAGGGAGAGGGAGAGAGAGAGAGAGAAATAGAGGGAGAGAGAGAGAGATGCAAGTCCCACACTGAAGGGAAAATACATGACTAATTCAAATCTGCCTGTGAAACTGAATAGATAATCACTAGTGGAATGCTGGAAGGCACTGTTAGATAGCATCTCTCTTCTCCGCAGCAGAACGGGCCAGCAAGTGCGCATGATGGTGTGTGTGTGTGTGTGTGTGTGTGTGTGTTTGGGTGCATGCTTGTGTCTGTATGTTGGTTGGTGGTGGTGTGGAGTATAGGGGAATGGGGGAGGTGAGGGAGGGGTAGGGGGGTGTAGCACGGGACCTGAGGTTATCATGGCCTGGGAACCATATCTTTTTGCTGTGCCAGACCAGGGAATTATCTTCCAAAACAATCTCACTGGGAGCCATCTCTCTACAGACACCAGCAGCCAACTCACGCATTTCTCAACCGTCTTTACTGAAACAAAAACATAAATTACACAACATAAAAAGCAATTCTAAGGTCTCTTTTTTTTTCTTCTTTTTTTTCTCCCCAATAGGTTATAAGGCCTATAAGCAGGCAAACAAATGACATAGAACGATATATAACTCTTTCATATCACGTTGTAGTGGATAGTGAAGATATATATAATGATATATCACATTGCACAAGTTGTCATACTGTATATGTACTGTCCATCAGGTGATATAATTCAACACAAAAATGTACTTCTGTATCCGAGGTCAAAATATGATCACACAAACCATGGCCTCGTGTGTCGCTTACATTCCCACTGTAGAAAAGCATATACCTTCATGATGTGTGTGGACTGTGTTGGGAATCCTCTCGTTCCTAACACCTCTCTGTCAGTCGCATACTGTATGGCGGGATGTCGCCCGCAGCAGCTTTCGGCGACATTGTTGATTAAACACAACAATCTGATCGCGCCACAGTCCCGTGTAAATCACTCAACAGTGCCGAGCTAACTGCCAGAACATGGATCGGATCTGGAAAAAACAACGGGGAGGAGTGCCAAGATTTGAAGCTGCAGCCTGTAGAGATGCATGAATCTGTCAGAGGACACCTGCACGATGCTACAGATTAAATTCACCTTTCCGCCTCCCTACGGTGATGGCTCACACTTCTGCAGTGTACGTCCTTTCAGTGCTGACTCACAACCAACCGCTACAGTTGTCCTGTTCATTTTATACATATGTATTTTTTTGACCATTTCCCCTTGTGCTGGTTAAGGGCCTGTTCCGAAATTCTCACACTGCGGCGCATTAGCGTCGGTCCTACTTTAAACTGGAGGAGGGAGCGCTCCTCGGACTGAATGTGTGCTGTGCTTTTTACAGTGTGAGCAACACTGAGAAAAATAATGAAGCCAAACGAAAGCAAGTCTTTCTTTTGACAGCTGACGTGAAAAAGAGATGCTAGTTTAGACCTTGGCCAATGCTTCAACTTCACTTTTAGACCTCTCGGTGGATTTCCGGAGGTCGGCTGTTCTCTTTCCAAACACCCAGTGAGCTGCCAGCACAGTGCTACAGGGGTGGTCTCTGGAGGAGAGTGGGGAGGGTGGAGGGATGGGAGGGGGCTTTGACACAAGGCAGGTGGACCGCAGCCTGCCTATCTCCTGCTCCCAGCTGTTTCATCTGAGCGGCAAAAGCTCTCTCGTCGAAATTGTCGGCATGAACGGTTATGAATACCCTGTCAAAAGTGGTTGGTGAAAGGATGCAAAACATTCTATTGATGTTCCAACTATTGATTTGTTCCCTGACCCATCATATCATGGCCAATGGCAGGTTTCCAAAAGAGTGAAGCTCTCCCTCCGAGAGCCGGTGACTCACACACGGGCGGGCTGAGCAGGTGGGTAGAGAGATAGAGAGGACAAGGGATGGATGGGGAGAGCGAGGGAGACACCGTAAAACGTCAGACTTGGTGAGGGGGGGGGGGGGGCTACTGTATGCGAGCAGCTAGAGAGAGGAACAATGGAGTGTTGAGAGTGAGGAGGAGATCCAGACGCAGGCATGTGTGGCTGAGCAGAGACGGCCTGGCTGGTCTGTGATCAGTGGAAAGATGGATCTAACTCGGAGATGATGCCGACGGCCGAGCTTCACGGGGTCCCTTCAGACGCCACGGTGCCCATCGCATTATTCACTCTCGCACTCAGAAGAATGCAACAAGCGACCTTGTCGAGGTCGACACACTCACACCACTAGGAATGCCCCGTCCTGGCCTCGTGTTTTTCTCCAGACGATGGACTGAAAATGGATTGATGTGACAACCTAAACAACTCTGGGACATTCAGATGGCGTGAAGATGCAGAATCCAGGGGGGGGGGAGGGGGGGGGGTGGAAAGAGTTCATGACAGGCGACTCAGCTGGAGAAGCGTGATAACTAAGAACGTTACTGACGTATATGAATTGTAATGTTTTGTCATTTTTCTCAACGTTTTAAATCCAAGTCTTCTGTCCTCTTGCTGCTTCCAGTCACACGCTATATTAACAATGGTCCATATTTTCAAAAGTCTCTTGTGTGTGTGTGTGTGTGTGTGTGTGTGTGTGTTTTTCGTATTTTTCTTCATCATGGGACATGATCATCCAGTGTTTAGTGCTTCTAAGAAAAATAGCTGGTCCTTCAGAAGAGTCTGTGTGTCTCTATTTCTTAAATGGAGCTAATCTACTAAAATTATGCCAGAAAGGAGCCTGGCCTCTTTTGGATTGACTGAATTCAAAAACCTCTCCTTGTGCCATGTCCTCCGTTACCTCATACTGCCCCGCACTTAGGGGGTCCTGGGGGGGCGGGTATGAGGGGGGCGTGCACCTGTTTACACCTGAGAAGGCAGGTGCAAAAAAAGAGCAAGAAAGGGGGGGGAGGGAGGGGAGAGGGACAAGGAGGCAGCGCAGGGCACAAAGCGAGAGAAGAAGGAAGGAGGTGGATAGCAAACAGGAGACACCGTCAGTAAATGTACCTTGAACAGACACACAAAAACACAACACCGAGTCATGCGTCCATAGAAAACAGGCACGTGGACGTACAAGATGAGCTTCCGGTGGTAACATTCCTGCATATTAAACCTACGATATGATAACAGTGTGACCATATGGTGACGGCTGAATTGGGACACGGGTGGAATTCAGCTCTAGCAATGACACAAGGGAGACTGAAGATGCTATTCAATCAAAAGTCTGTGGCAGACAAACAGGAGAACCAACAGATTACACTGGATACAGTGATGGAAAGCAGGCAGTTGGACGAGAGACATTGTTCTTCCACGCTTGTTGACAGCACATTTGTTTGAATAGCACCCTCGACACTTGAGAACACAAGAGCGGCAAGTATAGAGCCAACAGAAAAAGCTGTTAATATGCATTTAACTACAGCCTACGACGTCATCTAGCTATGGTCTACAAGCATCACAGCTATAGGCTAGTGCAATTAGAAATTAGATACAATCAATATTTGGAGATGAAATAGTCAAAAGTTGCCATGGCATCTTTGGGAGAAATGAAAAGATGAGGAACAGTGTCTTTTGTTAGGGGGGGGGGGGGGGTTAGCAGTTTGAAGGGTTTGATCTATTTGTGTTCAGAGGAACCTGTTTTTATCTTGGACAGTCAACACAATGCTTGTAAACAGATCGGACTGTGACTGCATGCTCCAATGTGCCAATCACAACGCCTCCCAATGCTGCTCAGCAGTTGCCATGGCATCTTATTGCGCTAGCTCTAAGGAGAACTCTAATGCATATACCTTTATCATTCTCAAACCATGTCCATACAACATGGCCCTCTTTCTCAAGATGAAATCTATAAATGAATCTGAAATTCAAGAGAGTACTTCACCTTGTGCCAGCCATGTACACATACAGCACTTAGAAACACACAACATTTACTTCTGACAGACATCTACGGGGATCCTAACATCAAGAGAGAACATTCCAGCAAAGGGGGGGGGGGGGGGGGGGG